CTACCAATACACAGATCCTACAGTATCTCATCACATCTGACAATTCCTGTCAGCAGTGCAAAGCCTTACATGCCACTGAGGTATTTGTGACTTTCTTTTCATGGAAAGTTGTATTTTCAAACTCTACAGCACCACCCTCCATTTCCAGCCAGGGCTACTCCTGTCTGGGGTTTGTGCTGCAGGGAATATGGCTGGCTTGAACAAATACATATATACATTAAAAATTAGAAAAATAGAATGGTTTGACTTGGAAGGAACTTCAAAGACCATCACGTTCCAACCTCTGACTTGGGCAGGGACACTTTCCACCAGACCAGGCTGCTCCAAACTGTATCTAAACTGCCCTTGAACATTTACATATATTCTTATATATATATGTATATAAAAATAAATACAGATATAAAAATAAATTATCCATTAAAAAAAGCACATCTGTATAAAGGATGGCTGTGTTTAGAACCATCCTAACACAAATTGAAATCTCTCAGTGACCAGCACATCAAAATTTTAGACGGCAGGAAGCAGAATGGGGAAGAGATAGCGAGGGCTTGCGTGGCCACAGCTGGGGATTATTGCAAATTCCCACTGAGGGTGGCAGTCCCTGGTGTGAGGGACGTGTCATGTGTCCCCTGCAGCTGCCCAGAGCCTGTGTGAAGGAAGGCAATCTGCACACCCAACATCAGGGCTGGCCTATGGCTCAGCTTCCCGTCAATGACTCAGCCAAGCCACCAAACCCAATGTTTGTGCTGCCACGAGGTGTTTCGGCACACAATGCCTGAGATCCCAGGAAATGTTCACACCAGGATGTCAGAAAGCAGCAGATGTGGAGGTGGCACATGTCAAGCTCCTCTGGAGAAGAATCCACCACACCACGGGGGAGGAAAACCCAGCGGGTATCTCTCTACCACACAGCATCCCTGACAGAGTGTGATTTTATTTTAGAAAAATCCATCTTCTTACCTAATTCTTCTCCGAGTCACTTGCAAAGGGTAAAACCACTCATTCCTGCCAAAATCAGCCCAGCTGGGAGGACTTCTGGGGTCTAAGAAACCTCCTGTGACCTTTGTGACTCTTCTCATTTTAGATGCACCCACATCAGAAAAAGGAAAACCAGCTCTTTGGAAAACCTCCCAATTCATGGAAAAATCTGATCCCAACCATTTCTAATCCTGGCCTGCCACTACAGAGACAGTCCCTGGGGCTGTGAGGCCGAGAGCACTGATGCTGGGAAGGAGAGCAGGCTGTGAGGAGATTCATTACCACTCTGCCAGAACAGCTGCTGGATCAGGGAGGTGGGATGTGTCCTCCTCGGGCTTGTGCTTCACGTGGAAAGAAGGAATAACAGCTGAGGATGGAAAGCAAGCCCAAACCCTACACTGAAATGAGAGGATGGTTCCTGTCCTCATGTTAAGGAGGTCAGAAATGCCAGGCCAGGTACCCAAACTCTCCTTGATTGGGATGAAGATAGAAACCAGCTTCTTCCCACCTCACCTGTCTCCAGACTTGGGATAATTTAATGACACCTCATCGTCACCCGAGACCCCCCTGATCACTCCCAGTTTGAAGGCAAAGAGGCACAAGGCAAAGAGTTCATGTGCATTTAAAAGGAGCAGAAGGATTGTCGTGGTGCCTGTGGCTTTTTAAAATTGTTGCTATTTCAATGACAACCATCTGCAGGGTTTGGTTCCTGCCCAAAGTTGAAGCCTGTCTGGTTTGGTGCCATATGAGCAAATAATAAAGGGAGGGATATGGGCTCACCTTCCCTCTCTGGGCTATGGGAATTGCAGACAGAAGAGACACAACCAGGATTTTGAGGAATGAAAGGCAATATTTTCCTAAGTATTTTTCCTGCCAGCTTAACTTCAACATTTAGATTTCTCTCTTAATTAGCCCAGTTATGTAGCCATGTAATTGCTTCCAGGAGCAGTTCCCTCCCCTCCTGCCTGGCCTAAATATCCCTCCCGGTATAAAGAAAACATTTATTTCAGGTCAAATTATTTTTATTTTGATTATGGTACCAAGTTCCAGGCCTACAAACACACGTGGTTACCAGCACAAGTGAAAAATTAACCGATCTGCTGCCAGAGCCAGATGCTGATCCAGTACCCAGCATCTCAAAGCTCAGTTCCCACTTTGACAACAGCACCCAGGGACTCAGGGAAAGCTCCATGTCTCAGTTTCCCCACCTGAAAAGTGAATTCTTTGTGGATAACTGGAAAGTCCAGTCTGGACACTTTGGCTGAAGGTGTTTCTACCCCATATAAACCCAGACCTGAGCACATGTGCAGCCACAAAGACACTTGCCATGATTTCAGCTCTTATTCTGAAATCACCCAACTTTGCATCTCCCAGGCTGAAAGCATTAAAAGCAGCCTGTGGGATACCCAAATGTGCAAGGTTTTGTCGAGCACATTTATTCCCCACGAGGAATTAGTTGGTTTTCCTGGCATTCCCATCCTGGGGAGGGCTCTGACCATGCCCCACCAAAGGCAAGAATGCTCCCTGTGACTTGCCTCATCCTGCTCGTCCCTCTGTGCCAGTCCTCCCACGCCAAGAGCTGCCTGCCAGTGCTGCTATCCACAAGCCCTCAGCTCTGAAACCCTGGCCCTTGCACAGCTTTGCTTTCACAGAATCACGGGGTTGGAACAGACCTTCAAGACCATAGAGTCCAACCCCTCTCTTCCCACTCTGCTCCAGCCCTGCCTGCCCACACCCTGCACATTCCTGCCTTGGGGATTCACCCGCTGCCACGGGCACCTGAGCCTGGCTGGGTTTGCTGCCTGGAAACTCAAAATATCCATGGGAGCTGCTTGGACTGGATCCCACTGGGGAGTTCCTTAGTGATGCTGTTGTTGGTTGTTGGTTGTAGCAACGCCGGGCGTTGGGCAGCGGCTCCGGCCACCCAGCCTGGACCTGAGGGACAGGAGGGGCTGGGAGAGGGGGTGCCCACCTACATCAGGAGAGATGCTGCACCAAGCAACCCCTTCCCCATTCCCACAGAGCTTGTGCCACACAGCGTGGAGCTTCCAAGCCTTTCCTTGTGGTACCACTTCCCCCAGAGGATGAACCACCCCAACACTGAGCAATGCTGAGCGTTCAGGCACTGCTTTCTCACTTTGGAAGATGTTTTGATGTGGGGGACAGCAGCCAGAGAAAACACAACTATTCCTCAAGCTGAGGGTTTTCCAGGAACGTGGACTGAGCTGCTTTTTGACATCCAAGTGATTGGATTTTTTGCCATCCTTGGATCACCCACCCATATCAAAGCCGTGGCCATCCAAATTATAAACATGTGCCTGGCCTCAGCATCCACTGGAGGGAAAGGGAAGCTCCTGCTGACCCTCAGGATCTCCTAGGCCAAGCCCATTTCTTCAAACCAGCCAACAAAAATTGGACTGATGCAATGGAGAAGCTGCCTCAAAACATCCTCAGAGGGCAACAAAGATCTCTCCAGCCGGAGCCTGGACAGTCTCTTCCTTCCTTGTCCATCATACCAGACAATCACAGAATGGTCTGGACTGAAAGTGTCCCTAAAGCCCATCTCATTCCAGCCTCTGCCATGGACAGGAATGCCTTCCACTGGACCGAGTTGTCCCAAACCCCATCCAATGAGGCCTTGAACACTTCCAGGAAAGTGAAATAATGCTTGTCTGCTTGTACAGAGAGAATCGGGGGCAGTTGTGCTATTCCACCCTGTGACTAGTAAAATATAACAACATATGTATGTGGTTTTCAATGTCCATCCAGCTTATTATCTAATAAAATAAGCTTGGCATAATAATCACTGTTGTTGCTGTGATTTATGAAAAGACAAGAGCAATCCTCGTGTTTTTTGCCTGATCTCACCAAAATATGTGACTCCTTCACCCTTTTTATCCTCCAAGCTCCTCTAGAGGAGGAAAAGATGATCTCTTCCTCCAACAATACCACTGCACTCCTTCAAGCACCCTCTGCACTCCTTCAGCACAGAACACCATAAAATATCGTGTTCTTGTGAGGTGAAAATGCACACACAATATTGGATCTCACCCATATTGTGAATTTCTCCCTGCAGACAACATGGGGATGCCTTGCACCACACAGGCTTTGCTGGCCCCAGCACTACAAAAAACTTTTAGGGCAAACACTCCCAACACAGGTGACTCTGGGATGAAGCACAGCAGGTGATCACACGGAAATGAAACCACGGGGGAATTTTTAAGGCCAGCAGAAGGTGACAGCCCACCCTGGGAAGTGGCCAGGGCACCCCTGCTCCCACAATAAGAACCCTGGGGCCTTCACACCCCCCCCATTATCTCCATTCCACACTGAGCTGACGGTGACTTTGTGAGTGTAAATTATTGATGTGGGAAATGTCAAATCATAAAACTGCAGGAAATCTTATGAGTGTGGAAGGGAAACACTGTCCTTCAATGCAGCCTCTTGCTCTGTCTCTTGCTAATGTCCTGTCACCTGGTCTAGCAGGGAGAGGACCAAGGAGAAAAATCCTCCCTGATTTGTGTTTCAGGTCTGTTATCCGGCTCCGCTCAGCAGATCGAAGAGGGAGGCTGTGCTCTGTGTTTGCAACTGAAAATGAAACGTGATAACATCTCTAGAGTGGAAAATTACAGAGCCTAAGAGCAAGTAAAGCCTGTAGCAGTAAGAATTCTGCACCTGACAGAGCCAAGGCTGGGGGCCTTGGGGTGCTGCCTTCACCTCACCATGGCAGGTCCAAGGCTCCTCTGCCCTGAACTCAAAAATGTGGGGTTTAACACATTCCTCCTCAAAACCCATGCCAGGAGGAAATGACAACACAGAGCACTTGGTGTGCAAAAAAAAAAGCGTTGAGGAGATACACATGAATTTTCCAAAGAAATCCACTTGGAAGGGAACGGGTTATTCTGCCTGGACAGCAGGATGCGTTTCCCCATCACACCCGCATTACTCCTCATGCCTCACACCCACCTTGGGCGCGCTGAAGCCTCCTGAGCCATTGCAGGGACGGCCCCGCCGCCTCTTACCTGGGTCATCTTGGCGAGGTCCAGCGAGGGCCGCTGCTCCTGGACCTCGTCCGGCCTCCTCCGCTTGATTCCCACCTTTTTGTCGTTGAGCACGCAGGGCTGGGAGCGGCTGCGGGCCAGGCCGGCGGCGCGGCGGCCCAGCTCCGGCGTGGAGGCGGGCGTGCTGCTGGCCGAGGGCGCGCCGGACTCCGGGCACGAGAAGCGGTCGTGCGAGCAGGACAGGGACCTCTGAATGTCCACCCCATCTCCGCCGTGCCCTCCGGCTGCCGATTTCCTGGGCTGCCCGCCGCAGAGCGGGTTGGAGCGGGCGGGCAGGCTGAAGCTGGAGCTCCTCTGCATGGTGGCGAAGCCGTTGGAGTAGCGCTGCACGCTGCCGCCGCTGTAGCAGCGCCTCTTCTCCACCGGCGTCCACACCTTGGAGCCCAGGGGTCTCCAGGAGCTCCCGCAGCCCGACATCTCATCCGAGAAGGACAGCGAGCGGCACTGGCGCTTGCTGGGGGGCGCGGAGGGGTGGCCGTGGGGGTCGCTGAGGCTCAGGTCCTTGATCAGGTTGGTGACGGAGCAGGTGCCGGCCGCGTCCCTCGGCCAACGCGAGCCCTCCTCGCCCTTGTCCGACAGGCAGTCCCAGATGCTGGCGCCCGGCTGCTCGAGCTGGAGTGGACACTTCCTGCTGAGATCTCTCCATCTGTCATTTTCTGGTTCAGAAAGGAGAAAAGAAAGGGGGGAAAAAAAAAAAAAAACCACAACACACACGCACAGGCATTAGCGTTAATTAATTCTGCGACTCGCTTTCTACGTCCATAAACAAAAAGAGTAGCATATGGGACGTTTTCCAGTACAAATTAATTAACTCTTGGAATATGGTTTCCTGAACTACCAGCAGAGTGGGTTGCGTGGGGTGTAGATGGAGAGAGAGACAAAGTGACAGTCCCAGCAGGAGCAAAACTGCTAGAAGAAGATAAAAACATGCCTCTGAATATTCCAGGTTGCACCAGCTAAGGGGAATTCAGCGGTGTAAAATGTTGTGGCTATTGGTTATCTCTGTGCTAAATCACATCTCAGATGTGTGCGGTTTGTCCCGGGCTCCACAGCTGACAATTGCCCGAATTTACAGCTGAATTTAAAAAACATGGAATCACAGAATCGCTGAATCGTTGGAAAAGCCCTCTGGGATCAATCCAACCGTCAACCACTGCCAAGGCCACCACTAACCCATGTCCCCAAGGGCCACATCCACATGGCTTTTAAATACCTCCATGGATGGGGACTCCATCACTGCCCTGGGCAGCCTTTCCATTAAGAAATTGTCCCTAAAATCCAATCTTAACCTCCCTTGGTGCAACTTCAGGCAGTTTCCTCTTGTTTTATTACTTTTTTACATTGAAGGAGATCCCCACCTGGCTGCACCCTCCTGTCAGGGAGTTGTGCAGAGTGAGAAGGTGCCCCCTGAGCCTCTTTTTCTCCAGGCTGAGCCGCCTCATCTCCCTCAGCTGTTTTTATCAGACTTGTGCTCTAGACCCTTCCCCAGCTTCCCATGGACAGCCAAGGTGGAAGAGAGGATTAAGGAGGATGATCTCATTCCCACACACATCCCACTGACAGCAAAAGAAAGCAAAGCACCCTCAGGGCTGGGCTGCCCTGCAAAAGACGGGGCTCTCTGCAGATACACCTTCCACCCTCAGCAGGAAAACCATGGCAGGACAACCCCGCCAGCTGCCGCAGTGGAAAAAAGTCATCAGCCAACAGCCTCTCCCCAGCGCCTGTTTTTGTCGTTGGCTGCTGCAAACAGAGCCCAGCCGCGCTGGAGAACCGTCAGTGCCAAGTTTCACATGATTGTATCTAAACCAAGCAATATTTTGGGGGGCTTTTTGGGGTATTTCCACTCAGGCAACTGAAGGATGAATGAAAAGCCGTGCCCAGCCCGCAGCTGCAGGTACCAGCCTGGTAGGGAAGATGCAATGGTGCAGAACACATCTGACTAAGGTTTCAAGTCAGGAGGTCAGATTTGGGGCCCCTTGCACCACTCTTGGCTGATTTTCCCATTTCTCCCTTCTCCAGCTTCTGCCATAACAGCTCCAGCCATGAACAGCCTGGCTCTGCCCGCAATAACCGCACGGCATTTCAACTGTTGCTCTCCTCATTTTAATAAACACAATGAAAAGTGAGAAATCTGCTCTAGACAACTCCATCTATGTTTAGATCTTTATTATTTTTCCTCTGTACTATGCTGCCAGCAGAGAGATTTCTTGGGTCAGGTCAGCAGACAAAAGAAACAGAAATAGAAGCTGATTTTTCATGGCAAGCTGCCACGATCCTCTGGCCAGAGACTGTACAAAAGGCCTTGGTGAGGAGGATATGGGACACCTTCCTCTTTCACCCCTGCTTCAGCACAAACAGCTATAAATCTTCCAAACCTGGCAAAGAAAATGGTAAAAGCACCACTATCCCCAGCACCAGCTTGGGGTTATTTGCTTTTCCCCTCACACAATGTGAGCTGGCACAACCTGGCCCCTCTGAGTCCCCAGCCGTCATTGACCAGTCCCAAAATACCAGATAGCCCAGAAAATGGGTTTTCAGTGCAAGTAGGAAGCAGGTTGCCCTAAAAAAAAAAAACAAAAATGGAGTAGTCTAAAGGCCAAGGGTATAATTAAAGAACTCTGGAAAGCCTTATTGAGGAAAAGCAGTTGTCTTTCTGCTCAATTTTTAAAGACTAAGAGTCCCATCCTGTGCACTTTGATAACAATAATTGCACTGGAGCCATTAATTCTGCTGCAGTTAAACATGTATTAATTTTCTTAAACTACAAACCTCAGCCTGGTTTACTCTGAGGCAGCAATTTGTTCCAGGATGAAACCCACCACGAGAGCTCCTTGGTCTGAGAGTGAGCTGCCTGGCTGGAAAACTCTCCTGTGCCTATTGGAGAACAAAGGGGCAACCAGAGCACGCTGGAAGTGCAGCCTGAGGGGCTCTTGTCCTGCTTAAACAGGTCCTTTTTGGCTGTTAGTGTCTCTGGGTGAAACAGCATCTTAGTTCTGGATTTTGACTTAAAACTGCAAAAATCAACACCGAAGCCTTAACAAAACCCAGCTGTTCTCTCACGAAACCTTCGCCGCATCAAACAGACCCTCGTGGTGCTCGTGGACTGGAGTCACACCCCAAAACTGGGCAGATGGGCGTTGTCCCCCATCCCTGAGAGCTCTGCACTGCCCCACGGAGAACAGGATCCACCCTCAGAGCATCACAGCCAGGTTTCCAAAGGCTGAGCTCCAGGTTTGGCAGGAGCAACCCACGGACACATCAGGCACTTTGCAGCTCAGTGATGGCCCTGGGCTTTTTAAATGACTGCAGTGCTCCTCTGGTGACACAGTGTAAATTTTAATGACCACTCATAACCACAGAGAAGGGTGTAAAACCAAAACGCTGACACAACTTTAACTACAGTGACACAAATGTGCTGCTATAATATTTTTACAGTTCCTTTTTATACATAATGCATGATCCTTCTGCTCAAGTTTCCTCTACGTTCTTTTCCCATGAAATAATTTACATTAATACATAATTTATTATGGCAACTTGTAAAGCAATTAGAGGTTTCAATCAATTTTTCTTATCCTTTTTGGCAGATAAATTCTGTTTGGAACCTAACCCAAACATTTGTCTGTGCACAGGTGCACATCCAATTCCCTTTTTTTCCGTGTTGTTCAAGTGGAATTTTGGTCTCACAATTCCTGTGCACGGGGGAAAAGGCAGCCTGCATTTTCCACTGCCCCCTGTTTATGTTCAGGAGATAATTTCTAGGTGTGGAACACATTTAATGGTTGTAATTAGCTGATGGCAGCACCAGAGAGCTTTCCTAGTGCAGAAATGAGATCAAAATATGACGGGCAGAGCTGTGCTTCAACGGGAAATGAAAACAACAGCCCCAAAATCTACTCTGGAGATGAAACACACCTGTGGGCTGTGGGCTCTTTGTGCCAACAGCCTGCATGGGGGAGGGAAATCCCCAAACTTGACGTGAAACGTGCTCAGGTCTTCAGCGGGATCCTCTGGAGAGGTGTGCCTGCTCCAGCCACACCTCACCACAATTCTCCCAGCAGCTTTTTCTCTCTGCAGGGTGACTGTGTTTGAATGTGCACCAAGATGCTCTACACTGATGGCCTTTCCAAAACAAAAAACCCCAAAGTTCCAGAAAGCCCTGGTTCAGAAAGAGGAGGCATGCAAGCCTGGCAGGTGCTTTCAGGATGCATTCAAGGGCCATCACCCCATGAAGGGGTTCAAGGTCGGACTTGATGATCTCGGAGATCTTTTCCAGCCTTCATGATTCCATGAGCTGGCTTTCCTCCTGGTTTCTTGGCTTTCCTCTGTCACTCAAGGATGGTGAAAAGCCACTTCCAAGAAAGAGCTGTGCAACAGAGAGCCCAAGGCTGCAGCCCTGCCCTGGCACGCTCGGAACGCTGGTGCTGCCAGATGTGGTGGAGGGGTGATGTGAGAGTGCCAAAGGACAGAAAAGCTGACCTGAGTGCCCCATCCCTCACCCTGCTCTGCTCCAGCACCCTAGGAGGACAAACTCTGAGAGCCCTCCAAGGGAAAATGGAAATGATGGCTGCTTTGAAAAGAGCACTTCCCAGGGGATGGGTGCAGGATCTGTCCCCAGTGGGCTCAAAGCCATCCTCCTCCTCTTCTTCCTCCTGCCTTTTACAATCAGGGCCAGGACTGGGATCCTGTGTGTGCAAGCACCTTGCCACTGCCTCAATAAAACCCTGCCTGCAGCTTCCCTCAGAGATAATTTCTTGCTTACGCAGAGAGCAGGAGATCACGGCTGTCAGCACACGCCTCCTGAGCTTCTCTTACCAGGTCAGGCTGGACAGGGCTTGGAGCAGCCTGGGACACTGGATACCATGGCCAGAGGTGGAGGGAGATTACCTTTAATGTCCCTTCCAATTCAAACCATTCTGGGATTCTATTACTTTTGCCTTCCCGTATTGGAATTTTTCTGTCTTTGGCTGGATAGCAAAAGACATGGGCAGGGACACCTTCCACTCTCCAAGGTTGCTCCAAGCCCCATCCAGCCTGATTTTGAACATTTCCAGGGATAGGGCATCCGCAGCTGCTCTGGGCAGCCTGTGCCAGGCCCTCACCACCCTAATGCCACAGTTTTCTAACATGCCACCTTTTTCTAGCACAGATATTTTCACTGGGGACCTTCCATGGAGACTGCTGAGGAAGGAAAAGGGAAAAAAAAAGAGGAGGAAAAAAAAAACAAACAGCAAACTATCCATCAACAGGACAACTCTTACACTCCTGGGTATTTCAAGGACCCATCAAGGAGAAGGGAAAGCAGTAGTTGTCTAATTTATAGTTTTAGGTGTTTCACCTTTCATCTTCCTCAGGGAAAGGGCTATACAGAGATAAAACCCAATCTTTTTAATAATATTATCGTTTCACTGGCAGAAATATTTCTCACAAATTTAAAAGCCAAAAGATTATTTAGGTCATCCTGAGAATTGGACCTAACCATGCATCATCCAATATATCAAGCCTTTAAGAATGTTTACTCAATATACTGAGTTTGGTTACAATCTAGAATCCGTTTTCAGATTCTTGCAGATTCAGATTCTTTTCAGATTCTTTAATACCTTACAAGAAAAGCTCCAGGGTTTGGATGATGCTTTCCCTGGCAGAAGCTGGGCTTCCTTCTCCCCTGATGCTCCATGGCCACAGGGTCCAGAAATAAACTGCCTTCCTGCCCAAAGCTGCCCTCGCCCCAAAGGTATCAGAAAGATTATTTTCTAAGATTCTCTTTTGTCTAAAACCCCCCCAAAAAAAAAAAAAAAAATCAGCCAACTTCCCTCCAAACCTCCCACATAGATAGGACTGTGAGTCTTTGCCTCATGTTGTCTGTGCTACCAGTCCAAACTTCACTGTGTTTATTTATCTCAGTGCTTTCCACTGACAGGGACTTGGCCCTTTGATATAAAATATTCCCCAAGTTTTGCATTTTAACAGTAATTTTATTAAAAATTCAAGCAAGTTTTCATCCTGGATTAGTCTGTGATTGTGGCCCGCATTTGGGGACATCAAGAAGAACACTCAGGGAAGATAATTAAAATGAAACCCAAGCCAAGCAATGCCTTCACATGAGGGAAGGACGGGCTCCTCTTGACTGGGCACAACAGAGACCACTGCAGGGCAAGCTGAGGTCAAGGAGGTGACATTCAGCTCCCTCAGAAGGAGGATAATTTGGCAGAAGGCTCTGTAAAAGCTCTTAAAGACAGGCTGCTCCTCAATTAGGCAGAGACTCTGCGTATCTGCTGAAGAGCCTGCCAGTGCCACAGCGCAAGCCAAAACCCATCTGATTTGGGTTCTTTGCTCCTCACTCACGTTTGAAAGGCAGGGGAGAGGGAATGGGCTGCCTCTGTCCATTCTTTACTATGAAGCTTGTGATTTTCATCTGGAAAAAACCACAAATGCTCTCCATGTCACCACACTGCCAATGGCTGGAGCTATCAGAGAGCTTGGGAGGCTTCTCCTGTCAGAGCATGTGCCCGGCTCTCATTAACGCTAATGAGAGCTGCGTCCACGAAGGAAAGGGGCAGCCTCTTTGTCTGGGGAGGATTGGCTTTCACAGCAAGGAGCTTAGCTCAAACTTGACCTACAATTTTAATTGGGTTTTGAGGCCTCGCCCAGCGATTGGCTCCCTGCTAGGAATGCCAAAGGGAACAACACAGCAGCACATCCTCTGGCACTATCAGTTTTTCAGGATCACCAGGCAAGGCACACCAATCCTCCATCCATTTTGGTGGCTGTTCAGCATAAAAACTGCTAGCAAGCTCTGACACAAAAGGTATCAAACATATTTTATCATGTGTGGCAAGCACATTTCTCCCCCTCTCAGGATTTTTCATAGAGGTGCACAGAGAGAAATGAAAGAGAAAACAATTTCTATTTCTGCTCCTTGTTTTTCCCATGTGGAATGTGCTTGGAGAATTGTTTACCTAGGGTGATTGCTTGGTTAGGTGAATCCTCTGGTGAGGATTGTTTGAGCCTGATGGCCAATCCAACCCACCTGGGGCTGGGCTCTCAGAGAGGGTCACAAGTTGTGTTAGAGTTAGATAAAGTAATATGTAGTTTTAGTATCTTCCTTTTTATATGGCATATTAATGTATTTTAGCATAGTTATAATAAAGAAATCATTCAGCCTTCTGAATTGAGTCAGACATTGTAATTTCTTCCCATTGGGTTTGCCTGCATTTACAATAATCATGATTACTGTCAACAGCAAAAATGGGACATTTTCCATATTGTCTGAGGCCCATCCAAGCACTCTGTGCCAGGGGTAGAACATCTCAGTGATAATGCTGTTATTTGCTGCTTGCACCATGAAAACAGTCAAGAACCACATTTGGGCTGGATTCTCAAACACAACCTCAGACTCCAAATGTTCATCAACTCAGCTGTAAGAGTAGCTCTAAAAACAAGCAGACGTATCGAAGGGGAGGGGAAAGGAGATGAGCAATTCAGTCAGCAATGGCAACAGGGCACAACAAGCATCATGTGGGGAGGAGAGTGGCGCAGGTGTGGTGGGGTGGGCTGCAGGGGAGTGGTTTTGGAGACATCCAAAAGTCAGGACATCTTCCCATCCATCACTGTGAGGAAGTGGGAGTGGAGGAAACACAGAGAGAAGTTTCTGTCACTTACCCATCACGCCACAGGAGAAGAGGGTAGATCCTTGACTCATCTTTGGAGTGTGCTGCAAACAACCAGAAAAACTATTCACTTCTCACAGACTCGACCTGGGCACCAGACACCACCCTGCCTCCAGCCTGGACAAAGCCTTCCACAGCCCTGGTCCATCTGGGGACAGACCCAGTCACCTTTCCTCAAGGAAATCAACTTTAAACTCTGTGCAGAGTCCTCATCCAGGCCTCAGCTTGCAGATCAAGGGTCCTGCAGCCAGCCCTTCCCTCAGGAAAGAGCTGCTGTGAGGTCCCCACCCTCAGATCCAAAACTCTGGTGAAATTAAAATGGGAGCTGCAATTCAGAGGTAATCCTGGATTGGGCAAGAAAGGAGCAAAAGTGGTATCTTGAACCTCATCCAAGCCCATTAAGGCCTCCCCATGAAGGTACAAAGCAGCTATTTAGCTTTTTCAAGTATATAATGAGTTTCTAAGACAAGGCATCTTCACCTCAGCACTTTTGAGGAGTCTCTGCTCAGATTGTGATGATTTACACTAAAAATAGGGGGAAACGCCACTACACGGGTACAAAATAATCCTGGTTGCTTTTCACACTCTTTTTTTCCTCAAGAATTTTCCTCTTGGCGGTGTAAAAGACACCATCAGACTTCTAAAAATGAGCATGGATGGGTTCACATATAATAAATCAATATGTTATCCACAGCTGCATGTCATTTCAGCTATGCCTGCAAAAACACACTTTCATACTAATTGTTCCTTTATTATCCCTAAAAATATCCATATTCTGGCTTCTGAAGTGTCTATCCTGGCAACACTATCCCATCTGACTGAGGCTTTACATCATCTGAGGGAAGCACCAGCACGGCCCCCACGTTCATCTGCACTGCCATAATTGTGTTTTATCTGGCATTAGGCCACTGCACTCACACCTTCCCTCCTGATCCATGTTTTACACGTGGCCTGCTCACATAAGTATGGAATCTCACAATGGTTTGGGCTGGGAAGGACCTTAAAGACATCCAGTTCCACCTGGGAAGGGACACCTTCAATGTGTCCAGGTTGCTCCAAGCCCCATCCAACTTGACCTTGGACACTTCCAGGGATGGGGCAGCCACAGCTTCTCTGTGCCTGAATCTCCAGTGCATCATGAGGACAACAACAACAATAATAATAACAATAACAACAGTAATGTACCAAATGATGGCACCTGAGCAATCCAATAAAGGCTCCCACTTCATACAAAGAATGCTGGAAACACTGAGTATAGAGGGATAGGGAGGCATAAAACAACTACAGGGTGTAGATGTGGAGAAGGTAAATAAGGGTCAGTCACCTTTGGGGCATGTGCCACTTTTCTAGGCAAGGTAAGGATATCTCCATCTGTGCAGCCCCACGTTATGATCCATCAGCAGAATTAACCAGGAGGCAGAGAGGACAGGCAGCTGTCCCCAAGGAGCAGCCGAAGTGGAGCAAAGATGGAAGTGGGACAAGCCCCAGAGAAGGCAGGGGCTGTGCCAGTGCACATCTGTGTGCCAGCCCCAGAGACCAGACACTGTCTGCAAAGGCAGGAGGGAGAGGAGCCTGGCACGTGTCCCATATCGAGTATAATTACCATTTTGTAAGAATTTTCTCCTCATACCAAATTGGGAGCTGAACCAAAGGAGCCCACTGGCTGTTGGCAGGAGATACTGCCCCAGTGCTCAGACATTTATTTCCTTTGGGTTTCGCTTTTTGGCCTTCCCCATGAAGTCAGCAGAAAAACTCTTGCTTTCTTTAGTGGCTCAGCCTCCTTGTGATTGTCTGCCCCAATTTAACAATCCAGGCAGCCCAGCAATTCACCTTGTGTCCCCAGGGCTGTCCCTGCACTCCTGACCCAGCCCCAGAGCTGTGGGAAGCTCTTGGCAAACACGTGAGGGAAAGTTTTGTGTTACAGCTCTGCACCTCTACCACCTGCCACCAGACACCCCGAGCACCCAGCCCTTCTCTTAGGAGTAGAAGAAATTACTCTCATCTGCCTCTCTACAGCCAGTTCCCCTTCTCCTGCCCCAAACCCTTCCCAGGGCACAGCTGGCACTGAAAGTTCAGCTTCCCACCCTGAGCAGCAGCCATGGGAGATGCTGACTCCCCAGCAGGAGCTAACTCTACAGCAAGAGTATTTTTTTAATGTATCAATACCCTTCCCAAATTTCACCCATTTAAGGCAGTATTTTCCACTGCCTCTAGCTTGCTCACCTTCTCCTCTGCCTTTCACTGCCAGGGCAGCCTGCCTTCACCCCAGCACACTGTGCTCTCTGCCTGGGAAGCCCAGCTGGACAGAAGAAGTCTGTCATCCTCAGCAAACCCAGGCATTTATATTTCTTTTATGCTCAGAATGCCCATTTTTGGCTTATCCTGACAGATGCTTCCTGCTGTGTTCCTGCATGCCCTTATCTGAGACTCTCAGAGAAATTGGTGGAGTTTCTTCTCAGACCATGCCCATCTCTCCAGGAGAACAGGGGGCAAATGGCCACAACCAGCCTTGCTCTGATGGCTCTCCATCACCCTGCACCTCCTTCTCATTTGCTCTGACCCTGCCTCCAGCTGTGTGTCCCCTACCACTGGTACACTCACCTCTCACAGCATCTTTTAGTTGGTTTGCCACCCCTAATTTGGTTTTTTTGTTGTTGTTGCCTGCTCATTCAGCATGTTGCATTTGCAGCTCTCCAGAATGCCAGAGAAATTAACTACTACAGCATTGCCCTTCACCATCTCCCACTTAATCTTGCTTCCCACTTGTTCATCCTCCTATTAATGATGAGCATCTGTTTGCTGTCAGTGAAGCAACTTCTCACCTGTGTTATTCACAGCATTGATTTGATTTTTTTTTTTGTACTGTTTATCCCATTTGGTGCTTACTGAAATCCACATATGCAAAAGCCACAGCACTCCAATCACTCACTAATCACCTCTCCTTGGATATTAATGCAGCTTTGTAGAAATCAATGCTACAAACCACCTAAAGATCCATCCCTGCAGGAAAGAAAACCCTTATTACAAAGCTACAGCAAAGTCCTTGGCAGTAAAACAGTTTTGAACAGAGGTTTCCCAAAGCTTACCAGCTCAGTCCTGCATGTTACGGAGTCAGCACCTTTGTTCTCCCGAGTTTTGGTTAAGATCATCACCATGGTAATGCAGTCCTGCCTCGGAGTCCATCAGGGTCCAGGCAAAGGGTGCTGGCAGCTGGGGGCTGGCAAAGCCCCTCTTTCAGTCCATGTTCCCCAGGAGAGGCTGAGCCCTGCCAGCTCCTGGGGGGATGTGCAGGGACAGCCCCGGGCTGTGGAAAGCTCCCTGCACAGAGAGAGAGAGAGAGGAACAGCTTTAGGGGACTTAGGGGAGGCTGGATGCACTGGGCAAGGGGCAAGCACTGCCCAAAAAAACAGCCTGCTGGTGGTTCCTTGAGGGTTGTGTTTATTTTATTATCTTAAACATTGTGGGTGTCCCTCTGCTCCCCATCAGCACAGGATGGGGCACTCCCAGGAGCTGGTGGAAGCACACAAGGCACACAGCATCATCCACAGGGACACAGGTATCTCAGTCAAATTAATAAAGTTTCCTCTGAATTTTCCATTTGAAGAGGGGACTTGCATCCCCTACATTGAAAATACAAAATACATTGAAAGAGGAGCTCATTAAAGCTCCAGGGTTGATCTCACAGAAACCCTTTGCCCCCCAGACCAGCTGGGAGCAGATGTCCAGCAGAAAAAGCCTCTCCAGCATCATTATGGCTGTGAAATCCCCTGGATACACCTATCCCACCCCAGTCATTCCATGATTCCCAATCTATGAAGAGCCCTTTAGGGAAAAACACAAGGCAAAGAGTTGCCTGCAAGGAGGGAAATCCTAAGGGCCACACCATGCCTCTTGATCTTCACCAATTTCTTAGGTAGTTTTAGGTAAGAAAAGCTAAGGGTGGACAACAAGGAGGCTCTTGAAATGAAAACTGCAAGCCAGCTCATGCAGCCCTGATCATGAGCCCTGCCTCACCTCCTGGCATCCTCCCCTACAGACTTATTCCCTTGTAAAGCAGACAGATTGCAGCTGAAATCTGATTACCAAAACCAGCGATTTCCCCAAATCGCTCCCCTAATCCTGTTTCTCTGTTTGCTGCTTTGGTTGTTAATGCAAACAACCAAACTCACCATTTGCACAATCCAAAGAGCACAAAACACCGATCTTGTACCATCCAGTCAAAGCCAATTGTGATGTTTAAGGATAATAGATGAAAATATTCCACTAAGTATTAACCCTTATTCTGAACTGATATTCTGGTTGCTCTTCCCAGCTCCTGAATCATCCTGTCCATGTTTACTTGGATTAGAGCTTGCAGTGGTGTTAAGAGTAGCTCATTTAAAGGCCAGCTGGCTGGTAAAGAAAAATCACCTTCTATTATTTTACGAGGACAAAGTTCATCCAGAGTGCAAAGCCAAGATTGGGAATCAATACATTTGCTGAAGATTTACTGTTCCCAAGGGTGCCTGGTCCAGTCTCCAGCTTTCTATGGGATATCAGTGGACTCATCATTTACAGTTTACTGGTAACTTCCTCATAAACCTCTGGGCAACCCAGCGACCAAATGAAAACTGTCAAATAGAAAAGTGAACATTTCAGAGTGTCAAAATTAACACATAATTTGTGAGAAGGATGAGATGGGATACTGGGAAGGAATTCTTGATTGTGAGGGTGGGCAGGCCCTGGCACAGGTGCCCACAACAGCTTGGAAGTGTCCAAGGCCAGGATGGGCATTGGGTTTTGGAGCCACCTGAGATAGTGGAAGTTGTCCATGGCAGGGTGTGGAATGAGATGGTCTTTAAGATGCATCCCCAACCACACCATTCTGTGATTCTGTGATTTCTATCTCTCACAATCTCAGCTGTCCCTGCCCCTGCACGGACAGGAGTGCTTGCTGCAGTGACAAACTCAGTGCTGGGAGGACGCTGGGGCACCGCTGGCACAGAGATCAAACAAGGATTCAGAGCAGCACGAAAGCACCGAGCACACTCACCAGGTATGATTTCTTCAGGAATAATTGCCCTCCCCTGAGGTGATGGTTAATGCTGCAGCAGCAGACCTGGGTGCACACCCAGGCAGGAGCAGCAGCAAGCACAGGCAGAGGCTCCCTGCCCCGGCCAGCCAGAATGCAGCACACACCATCACACCTCCCTGCTCCTCTGCAAGCCCTGCAATTAACACAGCCCTAATGACAGGCAACACAGCAAATTGCTGCCAAGCTGGCAGCCACCACCACCCCTCAACGCCGGGGCCGAGGCGCGCTTGCAGGTATCAGCAATTTGAACCACGGCTTGGTTGGGTTTTGGAGCCATCCCCATGGAGGAATTGCAATAAAAAGGGAAACTTTCCAGTGAAATGTGAGCTCTGGCTCCCCATCCTGCCTCCCAGGGCTCCTGACGCACGCTCCTGCCCTGTCACATCCTCTCCATGCAAACAAGTGCCATGGGACACAGACTGCAGGGCCAGCACAGACCCTATTGATGCTGAGGAGGAAACCACTGTGTATTTATAGACTGGATGCTTTCACACACACACATGCTAATAAAAAGATACTCTGCAGGGACCATTAATTACTTTAAGAAATGTATTTCCTCATTTGCAATCAGATAAAGGAACTATCTTCATCATGATGTCAAGGTTAAGTTTAGATTTGAGCCACGGCCACTGGGATTGACACAATCTCCTGAGCTTTATGAAAAGCCCCGAGAAACTCTAGTGCACAGAAATCCCCAAATTTTAGCAAACCCTACTTTCTGCGTGGTTCAAACCACAGACAAAGCAGAAGTCTTATGTGATCTTTGCAGTGGCAGAGGTGGGAAGAGGTTTCTCTCAGAGCTGCTTTCTAGACAGTATCACACCTATGGAGAGTTTGTCTTGGAAAAAAAATTAAGTGAAATGATCCAACTCTCATCCACAGGCTTGAAAGATGAACTCTGGGGAACAAACATGCTCCTTGTGAGGCACAAGCACAGCCTTAGAGCTGCTCATGGGGGATAAACAGCCCTTCCCTGCAGGGGGGTCTCACACATAACACAGCAGGCTCCAAGCCATGCCCTGCTCACCTGCTACACTGGACTGCATGGGAAAGACCTGAAGATTCAGCAAACTGTCTGCCAGATGCTCTGCCATGGCTGGAGGGAGCACGAGCAGTGACCAGTATCACACCTCCATGTAAATGATGAAAAACTTCCTCACAGAAAGGGTTACCAAGCCTGGAGGGATTTAAAAGCCCTGGAGGGATTTAAAAGCCCTGTGGATGTGGCACGTGGGGACATGGGTTAGTGGTGGCCTTGCCTGTGCTGGGGAAGCAGTTGGACTCCATAATCTCAGAGGTGTTTTCCAACCCTACCAACTCCATGACTCCATGGTCTGACCCCCAGAAATTACTCCTTGTGAAGAAAAGTGAGCACCAGCATCACACAGATTTCCACTAGCTGTGGGATCACCACCCCTCTGCACAGAAAACATTCAGCCCCTGTCCAGCTCAATAATCCATCTCCAGCCACACACACTGACATAAAACCTATTTACAGTGGAAAGGGCACCGGGAACGAGGAGCTGGAGCTGTGTTTTGCATACTGATACAGCTCGCAAGCAGAACAGTGAGAATTCTCTCAGAATATAAATCACCTGCCCCTGCTGAATTTTTCATGCTGATCAAAGAGAAGAAGCCATGACCCAAGCAGGACCCCACTCCCTGCCCCTGCCCCAGCACATTCCCTGTGCTGTGCTTGAAGAAAATGGCTGAGCAAGGAGCTACTGCAATTTCTGGAGTTTATTCAGGGCAGGTTAGACCCACGTGGCTGAACAACCAAAGCTAATCCTGTCAGATTATACTCTTTTCTGATCCAGAGATGGGGCAACTGAGAGGAGTTTTAAAAACTTTTATTTCATTTTCAGTCCCATGAGAAGGGTGAGACAATGCAGATGCAATAATTCACACCATCACAATCAGAAGCTATCTTCTAATTGCAGTACACTATAATGTAGTCCTACTACAAGTAAGTCTTACTACAATACAATTTTTATAGTTCTATTTCTCTAATCTAATTTACAAAGCCATCCTTCAAAACCTGTTTTTAGTTCAATTTTTCTCTTAATCTTAATGTCTGTCCTATTCTATAGTATTTCTAAATCAACATTTCTTATCTCAAAGTTCACATACAAATATACACTATGTAAAAACTTCTGTCAAATTGTTAAAATTTTCTACAAATCCATTTCTCACATAATCCCTCTGGACCAAACTCTGAGCATGATTCTAGGGCTTCACCACCATCCCACTCTCACCAGTGAAACAGTGAAATTCCCTCCACTGTGCACACCTTGATTTCTCCATGCAGTCACAGCACAGCTGCTCATCCCCTCCCAAACCCCACAGGGGGTTACAAAGAATTAGGGGGAAAAGCCAAAACTGGTGACTGTAATTGAAAATTGTGGGGTTTAAGGTTTTCTGCAAGCATAACATGGCAATATTCACCCAAAATAAAAATCATGCCTCTCTCCCAATCCTTCCACTTCTTAGAAGTGATTTGGGGCTACACTGAATCTCCTCATGGCACAGCCTGTCTCACCCTCAGGGCTTTGGACAATGCCCAGGAGTACATCTTCAATTCCTTGATTTATTGTGTTATGAATTTGGAAAAAATCCATGAAGTCTACCATTTGCATGTAGCTAAGTCAGGGTTTATTTCCTCACTCAGGCAATAATTTGTCTTCTGCAACAAGGCTGAGTAGGCTCAGCTCTGGGCAGTTTGTTACCTTTGCTTGAGTCTGTGTCATTAGAGAATATTGAGTTTATTTGTGGGGTAAAAACCTCCAATAAACGTGAAAGATGCCACTCAGGGCCCGAGAAGAAATCTTTACGCTCTGGAAATGCCCAATGGATTAATCCTGAGCACACAGGATCATGAGTCAGCACACGTGACTTCCAAAGGACAAAATTTCCACGGAGGCAGCTGCTTCAGGATTGTCCCCTGGGACTCTGTCGAGAGCAAAGAGCTGCCCCAGGATGCCCAGCCTTGGCAGGGGAAAGGCTGCAGCCCTGCCCACGACACCCTGAGCCTGCAGTCATTCCTCCTGCTCCACAGGGTCTTCCCCAGCTGCTGGAAGGACAAACAGGATCCAGGACACCACGGCTCTCACACGGTGTCCCACTCCTGCCCAGCTCCTGCCTGGCAAAATCTCGTGCTGCCCCATGCTCCAGGCACTCAGAGACTACCAGCCAAAGAAAAGCAACAAGGAAATGTTCTCCTCTGCCTCCTGCTTGCATCCAGACTGGAATTCTCCAGGGCTAACAAGACAAGGACACCCTTTCAGCACTAATTGCCTCCGTGCAACCTAGCAAAGGGGGATGCAGTGTGAAGTGATTGTGGCTCCACAGGTCTGCACAGCTTCAGGAGCCACAATCACCTCAGTGCCTGTGAGCAGCAGCTCCACACAGGAACACAGATTGTCACCAGCACAGCCCAGAGCTCACCTGTCCTGCCAGTGCAGGACAGCCTGGATGGAGCCAACATCTACAGCCAGTAAACCCATAGGCAGAAGGAGCTGGAGGTTTCCCATGACAGCACCCATCCCATGGGGCCACGTTAGGAACCAAAAATGCCACGTGCAGCCACCACGGATGGCCACATGCAAGCTGGCTCCTGGAGCCTGAGATAAGCCTCACTACCAGGAACCACAGCCACTCCACAGCCATAAATGAATTACCAAGCAAATAAAACTCTATGATTTCAATCCCATCCCCTGCTCCACGTGCCTGGGCACTGCCTCAGCCTGACACCAAAGTCACACAAGGCAGAGAGTCCCCTGCACTCCAAGCCCCAAAACACACATCCAAACACCCCCAAATCTCTAGGCAGAGCCTCGAGTCCAAGCTCATGCCCAGATCTACATGCTTGGGTTGAGCCTCGACTGCAGGCAAGCTCTCACAACAAAAGGAATAAGGAATTAAGGAGAATTACACACCATCTACTTGGGTAAAAGGTTTATTGCCCCCGTGCTCTTAGGGAATAGGAGTGGCAGGGGAATGAGTCCTGTACACACCAGCAGCGGAAGGACTGAAAGGACAGGGCAGGGGCAGAGGTGCTTTGTCTCAACATCTTTAGCTCGAAGGAAATGGTGCTGGCAGTGACTTTGCCTTTTCCTCCCTGGCAACTGAAAAGGAAAAGAAGAAAGCAAAATTAGTCATCGCAAACCAGCGACCAGCAGGGGAGAGGAGCCAGCGAGGAGCCGTGGGAAGCGGCAGGACAGGGGGAATGGATCAAACTGAAAGAGAGGAGCTTTGATTAGATATTAGGAAAAAATTCTTCCCTGTGAGGGTGGTGAGGCTCCAGCACAGGTTACCCAGAGAAGTTGTGGCTGCCCCATCCCTGGAAGTGTGGGCCATGCAGACAGAGCCAACAGCATGACCCCAGTCCCAATGACCACAGAAATTACACATTTTCTGTGAGCAAACCTGCAGTCATTGCCTATTCCACTCATTAGGGGAGTGCTTCTACCTTTGAGTAGTATTTCCATGGAAGTATTGTCCCTGGAATGGTTGTCCCTGGAGCAGAGCAGCTGAAGCAGCAGCAGCAGCAGTCCAGCCTGCTGGTCCAACAAACCATCTCACCTTTCTGTGGGTTTCCTCTGCTGCCCCAGTTGTGAGATTTATTACAAGAATTTGCAGTGGTCTGTGAGACACTGTGAGTGTTGGCCACCCTCCCAAAAGCTGAGGAATTGCTGAATTGAGAATTGCTTTGGCTGCTTAATCTCAAAAACTAGGGATGCTGAACAAGGCAGCACAGTCTGGGTTTACTTTTAATTACTGCTCAGAGCATGCTGCTCTAGTAAACAGACACAAAAAAACAATTCTTGTTCCTTCCTTATATTCTTTTCCCATGTACAGCCTGAGATGTCTGAGCTGAAGACAGCCCCACCACGCTGCTTTTACTGACTCACTTCCCAGCATAAACAACTTCAAACAGCCCGTGAACCCCTCAGAGTACCTGTCTTTATAAAACAACCTCCATCTGCTCACAGGCACGTAATAATGCTCCCAGGGTTAGAATCACTGAGTGGTTTGGCTTGGAAGGGAGCTTAAATCTCATCTCATTCCAAGCCCCTGCCATGGGCAGGGACACCTTCCCTGTGTCCAGGTTGTTCCAAGCCCTGTCCAAACTTGCCCTGGACACTTCCAGGGATGGGGCAGCCACAGCTTCTCTGGTCAGCCTGTGTCAGTGCCTCACCACCTTCAGTTAGGGGAATTCTCAGCCAGCCCAGGTTTCCTTGCTGACTCTAGAGCTCTCAGGGTCCCTGTGAGAAGCAAATCCTGGAGATGCAAAGTGAGTTCAGCGCTGCTCATCAGTGACCACTAAAAACCCACCCAGATGAAGCAGGAGCAGCATCTGGGACATCTCACTCTGTAACTGGGGAACACTTGCCAAGACCCACAACACCATCATCGCTGTCAGAGCCAGTTTGGATGCTGCCTGTAAGTCAGATTTCTCCCCTCTGCAAGGCTGAGATGGCAAACAGGTAGAGGTTGGCAGCCCTTATGGACACGCCTGGATTTAAAGCAGGAAAATCCTGGATGTATGGATCAACTGCCAGACTCCACGTTATCTTCTACCACCTGCCCTTTATGGAGAAATACTTTAAGACTGCAGAACCCTCACGTGAAGCCCAGCAAAATGATCCCTTAGAACCTTCCAAAAATTGAAATTATCTCCCTGAACTCAGCAGGCAGTATTAAAAGAATTTCAGATGCCTTCAGTGGATGGTATCTGTGCCCACACGTGTGCCTGCTGTCTCCTGCACACCCCACACTGTTTGCATTGGACCCAAGCACTTTGGCTCTTGGGCAGGCTCTGGGGGTTCATTCCTCAGCTGAGAAATGGCTTTCAAAGAGCTCCTGGGCTCCTGAAAGACGAACCTGGAGCCTTTATTAACCCTCCTAGTGACCAAAAGGCACTTTTCCCTGCTGTTTGTCCACATGTTGCCACCAACACCAGCAGGGGAAGGCACAGTGGAGGGAGGGAAGGAGCCCTCCAGGGCCAGGAAACCTTTGCCCACACTGCCACTTCCATGTCCCCATCCATTCCCGAGCCCTGCATCTTCCATAAATCTCTTTTAAGGCACGAGCAGCCAAACATCTGTGAGTTGTCTGAACGAGCGTGAATTTGGCAGGCTGAAGAGCGAACTCGCCTCACCCCACAGCCTCCGTGCTCCTTGTTTTCCTCAGGTTCATCAAATACACAACAATCTGTGAGCAGAACACGGCTCCTGCATGCAGGAGCTGCCAAGGACCCGGGTTTGGTGGCTCTGGTGGAGATGGGGGAACGTGTGACGATCACAGGGGGGCTCTTCTTGGTGCAGCAGGGCAAGGAGAGGACGGGCTGCACCCACCCTGCCTCCACCACGCAGCAAAGGTTGTCTCTGATGTCAGGGCCAACCCGGAGGTGATTTTGGGAAGCTCCAAGGGGGACAGAGCAGAGTGTGGGACAAGCAGGAGATGCCAGCCAAGGAGCATCATCCCAAGTGGGATGACTGTGCTGCATCCAGATGGAGAAACCAGGCTCTGCCAGGGTTATTCTCATCCTGGGCAGGGGGCATCCCTGATCCTGAGGAAACTGGGGGTTCCCACTGCTGCTGGGCAGCACTGGGCCCAGGCATGCAGTGCAGGCACTGCCAACACCCAGCCACAGGCAGACTGGGCTGCTGCTGTGATGGGGAGCAGCACTGGAGGCTTCGCCTTCCCTCAAAGGAAGTCTTTGGCTACGAGGGAGAAGTCAAAGCAAACACCCACTCACGGTGTTTACCCACCAAAATCAAAGCCAAAGCAGCACTGAAACATGCCCGACAGCATTTCCACAGAGTCATTCATGGAGAGCTTGGACTTGGCTTTTAGAGGGTGTTTTTAATATTGCAGGGAGATGCTTGTGAGGCTGGAATAATACGGAATCTGTTGCTGTAACACACTCTGGGCTTCCTGCGAGGTGTCAGCAGCACGTAGAGCCCAAACCTTCTGCAGGTTTGGCTCCATCAGGGGTCCCTGAGGGCCAGCAGGGAGATGCTTCCCATGGGGAACAGCTCCAGCGAGCCCGAGGTACCACTGCCCCAAAGCAAGGTGCCCACCAGGGCACTGCCCAGCCGGAGAAGTAATGCCCACACAGGACAATTTTCCCAGAACTGGGATGTTTTGTCCTCAGAGATGCCCCTCTGAGGGCAGGATGAGCTCCACTGTAGCTTAGCAGCCATAAAGCCCAGATTTTGCAGCCCGTTTCAGAGGTGAGGAAAACTTAAAAAAAAGTAAGTGGAAATGCAAACAGCCCCTGGTTTTATTTGGGCTGGCAGGAACACAGTTCTGTCCTTCACTCCTCGAGCTCATTTATGTAATAAAGGGGGAAAAAGAAATTTAAAATCTGCATTTTCCACCCTATAGGTCTCCATCTCTGGATAGCCTCCCTATATCCCTCTTTCTCTCATGCCAAGGGTGAATATCAGGAGAGAAACAGATTCCTTTGTGCCACAGAAAGGGGAAGCCCAATGGACAGATGGGTTGGCCCCAGCACCAGCGTGGTGTGAACCACAAAGCCCACTCCTGAAACAGCATCCCGAGGAGAACTGACCTAAATGCTGCATCCCATCCCTGCTCCAAAGCTGCCAGCAAGGGAACCACGCCAGGTATTTTGTCAGTGCACAAACATGAATGATTGCCCAGGACAAATAGGGCAGCAAAAACGTCCGCCTTCATCACATGGAAAAAACATGTATCAACTTGCAACCCTAATGAGCGAAGGAATTAATGAATCCTGGAATTTGTAAACCATGATGAAGTCCCTAAAATAAGGCCAGCACCTTAAATGAATGAGACTGCTAGTTAAACAGTAGGTTCTGTTAGAAAACAAGATACAGGAGATTTTATAGATATTAAGGACAATAAGAAGTCGCACTGACAACAACAGAAAGGATGGTAGAATCATTAGTTAGGATGCAGAAAAGGAAGAAATAGACAATATAAACATTACTGTCCTGAGCAGAAAGGAAAATGACACAATCACATTTGTCAGGAGTAACCTGGGATGATATTAAACAGCAGGCACTAAATATAGATCCTTCTTAAACAACAGCTCCAAATAAATGTACACCTTTTATTTTATGAGATCATGCCAAAAAATCTTCTGAGCCATCACCACGGAGGGTCCCTGAGGACAGGCACAAGCCTGGTAAATGTGGTGGGTGAGACCTGGAGCCCAACAAGGCTCTGGTTTCAGTGCAAGGTCAGGGAGTCAGGAATCACAATTACAACACCAAGGAAAGAGCTCTCCCCTCACCTGAAGCCTTTGTGCAGGTGAAAGGGAGCACTGGTATAAAACACCTCATTAAAGTGGATGCCAGCTCCTGATAACCCTTTACTGGCACATCTCAAACAGACCTGCAGGTAACTGGTGACACTGGCTGCAGCAGAAACTACACTGCCACCCTATGCCATCCAATATTCCTGGCAGTAATTGGGAAGGAAACAGGAAAACCTCTGTAAGTGACTCGAGACCAGCAAAGTGCTAAATACAGAGAACAGCCTGGTGACACAGAATGGAGAGAAGCAACCAGCACAGCTGGTTACAGAAATGTTAATATACACCCTAAAAAATTAATTGCTTAAAAGACACTCACCTCAAAGGCAGGGGCAGGAGCCCCGGCTCCTGCATGGTGCAGCAGATTACCCAGGCATGCA